TTGGGGGGCAGCAGGCACCAGGGGAGATGATGGAGCAAGGAGAGGAAACATGGCAGCAGAGAGAAAAGGTAAAGGGTTATAAAATATTTATTAATAGCTTGGCATGCTGCCCATGGCCAGTTTGTTTGCGCCCAGCAGTGCAGTTTGGGTTTATGTGGGGATCAATACGTGGCCGGCGAGTGGGAGCCAAAACAAAAAAGTAGTCAGTGTAATGATCTTCTGTTGAGATGCCGTTTAGTAGTTAAATTCTTGGACTGTCATTGCTCATGAAAAGTGTTGTCACATGGGTAGAAGTCGGGTAAATGTTGCATTTTATTAACATCAGCAGAGCTGACTTAAATGGGGCCTGTGTGTTGTGCAGTCTTGCCTTAATCTTTGTATTCATGCCTGTCCGTGTGAGAGAAGCTATTTGTATAGATTTGCCTGCATATGCAACCACGCTTACGTTGAGGCCCTCAGCATGTTCTGTAAGTATCAGTGTGGCCCCTGGGGCTTCCAAAGTTGAGTTGCGCTAGCTCAGGCATGTCCAAAGTCCGGCCCGCGGGCCAATTGCGGCCCGTGTTCCGGTTTAATACGGCCCCACAGGTAATTTGGCAATATCTATCTTTTATGGCCCCCAACGAATCCATATGTATTGAGATGAATACATTGTAAAATCTCAGTTAATGTCAGTTGGTCTAAATCAGTTATAAATATATTTGGACACAACATGTATAGTTGGTGTTATGTTCCTGTTCATATTTTTTAAACTTAAAAGTTAATATGTAATGTACTTTACAATGTTCCCGACATATTTCAGCTTCCTGGATTTTTTTTTCATCTGGCCTTCAGATATGAAAGGCAGAGTGATTTAACACCTATTTAGATTTGTCATCCATGTGACGAAATGAAAAGTATGCCGTTTGCAATAAACTTTGCATAAAATAGTTAATTTGCACTTAATTTTAATGGTTCAAAGAATGTCAGGCAAAATGGTCGGCCCTCACGCATGTTCACTTCTTCAAATCTGGCTCTTTGAAAAAAGTTTGGACACCCCTGCAATAGACAGTAGCACGAGCTGGGTAAAACCTACTTTGTCAGCAGAGCTGTATATATGCACTGTAGCTGAATAAGGTACAACCCAGCTCCCCCTGCATCTGCTGCAGTTCTACTGCTATTTATAATCTAGCTTCTGGCTGGATGAGTGCTAGTATTGTTTCAACAGGGAGCAAGAATTTTTCAAACATTACCATTGGTGTGGTGTACAATTTCTAGTACTATCTCATCTTCCTGCCAGTTAAATTCCTGTTACCAAATTAAAAATGCAGATTTTCACACGGATACTGAATGCTTGGAAATACTCCTATTGGTTTCTCCTAATTTAAAAAGGTATATGTGAGAAATTCCAAAACCACCAAAGTTTAACAAAGATGCCCAAGTGTAGATTTTTTTTTTTTTAACAAGAAAAAGACCAAGCCTTCATGCGTATAGACAATAGCAGATTTTGCCTGTTTGTTGCTGTAACACTGATTTATTTCATTCAGTACTAGCCTGACAACCGCTCATAACAGCTTTAAGCAGGATGTTGAAGGTAGGTATACAGGGGCTTGAAAATCCCAAAACCTCAGTCCCATTGAAGAGGGAAAAAAGGTTTTGAATTAAACTTGAGCCAGTTGTCACTTTACAGCTACAAAAAGGATAATTAAGGCAAAGCTGTAAAGTGACAGCTGGCTCAAGTTTAATTCAAAGACAGGATTCCAGTGAAAGCAAATGGACAGGGCAGGCCAAAACATAGGTATAAATTTGAAACTAAGCTAGGGGAGGCTGGAAATGGATTACAGGAGAGGGATCACATGATGATTACCTGTTCTGTTCACTCCTTCTGGGGCATCTGCCGTTGGCCACTGCTGGAAGATGGGATACTGAACTAGATGAACCTTTGGTCTGACCCGGTATGGTTTTTCTTATGTAATAGGGCCCACCAGAATAAGGGCTCCACAATCTAGTCCCATGTGAACAGAAAAAAAATCTCAAGACGGGGAGCCCTGTTAACGTCTAACTTCAAGATCTGTGAGTAGTCCTCTGGCACCTTAGAGACTAAAAAAAAACATGTATCATGAGCTTTTGTGGATAAGACACAATTCATCAGATAAGTTGGATGGCCTACTACTCATTGAGGGGGAAAAAAGTGTTTAAGTGAAAACAAGTTTAAAATCTAAATTCCTGCCTGGAGCAGTTAACTTCGCCCCACCATCATGTGTATGTTAGCCCTACAGAGTATCTTCCAAGGGTTTTAGTGGCACGTGTATAAATAGAAGACCATCCTACATTCCACGTGGAAAGGGTAAGATTCATGTGCAGATTTGGGGATTATGATCTGGTCCAACATCTCATATGTTCTGTAAATATTTTCAGATTTGAGATGTGTGCACATTTTTTTAATTTGGTACTTAAGATGTTTCTACTTGAAGATCTCTCTATGTCCTTGGACCTCACTTCTAAGAGCATTTCTACTGAAAAATAAATTTTACATAAAAGTTAGTGGCAGCTAGCAATGTTAACAGGTAACTAATACCTGGGAAGCAGCCCCCGCCCACAGTCCACCACAGGTGGAGGGCTGCTCCAGCTTTGCTGGGACCT